CCAAAAAAAAAAAAAAAAAAAAAAAATCAATCCAAATTGTGAAAAAACATTTTTTATTTTTTACACGTTGGACTCAAGTGAAATGTTTCATTCATATGAAGCCTGAAAACTATTTAATATATAGTTATTTTATATATTAAGCAGTTCTGGTCTTCACAGCTAAAAATGGTAGTAGTGAAATTAGAAATGGTAAAAAGAGTACGACAGCAAAGATGATTAAGAGTATGAAGCAACTGCCATACCAGGAGAGACTGAAAAAGCTCCTTTAAATAGGAAAAGGCCAAGAGGTCTATAAAATCATGAAGGATGTAGATAAAGTGAATAGGGAAATGTTACTCACCAGATCCTAAAATACTATTATTACAGGGCACCCACTACAGTTATCAGGATGCTAATTTAAAACAAACCAGCATATAGTTAGCTTGTGGAATTCATTACCACTGGGTGTTGTAGGTGTAAATAGCAGAACCAGATTCAAAATGCAATTAGAGAAATTAATGGAGGACAGATTCATTGGGAATTCTTAAATAGAACAGTCAAGGCTCTATCCACCAACATCCTTACAGCAATGATGGTTGATGCCAGAGAGAATACAACATGGGATGGATCACTCTGGATATTCCCTGTTCAAATATTCTCCCTCTATAGCAGTGGTGCCCAAAAGATGGCCTGAGGGCTGGATTTGGTCCATGAAGCCATGTCATCCAACCCATAAAGCTCTTCACAAGTCTGGAAATTTGTCAGTGCGGGAGTGGTGACAACATTAATTGTCACGGCTCTAGGAGTTCTGCAGCAATTAATGCTGCCACTTCTCCCCCACTACCAAAGTGTTGGAACTGTTGGGGCCTCATGAGCCAGCCTGTGGCTGGTCTGCATGCCCCACACACTCTATTAACTTGAACATTTCTTCTCTCGGTACATTTAAGAGGTGATCAGGAAAATGGTCAGCTGGATGCTGATGCCATTCCCACAGCTCAGGACACTATTATGCTTTCCACAATAGCTCACCCCTCCATGACCTTCTTCCCCATATCTTTCATGAAGCCTTATATGACAGAAGACAGGGTTGAAACTGCTTTCATAGACCTCCACCTTTTCCTTCCTTGAATCATATCTCAGTATTAATTCCTTCAAGGAATATTCATTCACTCATTCAGTAAATATCTACCCAGGAAAGAACTTACTCCAAGTTCAGAATTTCGAAATACAAGACCTTGGGGCTAGACTTCCAAGGTCCCTTCCAGCCCCAGTGTCTATGAAAAAAAAAAAACCTTTGGACAAGTAGCATCATCTTTGATAAATGCTATACATACCTAAAGCACCATGTACGCAAGATCCCAAAGCCTGCAAAAAAGTGGTTAAAAATATAAAAGGTGGCCATGAACAACATGAATAATCTTTTCATAAAATCATAGAAAAAATAGGGCTGGAAGGGAACTTAGGGAACAACCCCTTGAGAAAACAATTGCTGGCTAAACTAACCTTGACAAGTGCTAATCTAACCTTTTGATACAACGAAAGCTTAGGTACGTTTAAAGTGTGACTGAAAATATTTGAACTTTCGGCCCAATTCTGCAAAACTTCAATGCACAGAACACCCAATGACTTATATGGGAGTTCCATAAAGGAAGGATCTGTGAGATAAGGTTCCTTCTTTCTAATCTCTACCATTAGGTCATCTTGAATCATGAAACTTACCATCAAGCATTATTGTTAGTACATTTTTTCATTTAGTGATAGGATAATTACATTGAAACATAAAAATGTACAGTATATATATACCTATATCACTAGTCCTGTGAGTTGTAATGAATGCTCGAAGGTCCCGTCCACTCATTTTTTCTACCTGATGAGAAAACAATACATTAGTAAAACCAGAAATGTTAAGTATGAACATTAACATCTAAATTTCTAAACACTTAAAAATCCTAGAGTTCCAATAAAGAGAAGGGAATTTATTTTCCAAGGTTAAGTGACCATTCTGAAATATGAAGTCACTGGGGAAAACTACCCTTCACCACCAGCACAGCACAACTTTTGGTTACTGCTGCTCCATGGGAAAGGAAACCGTGGTAATATTGTATAAACTACCTCACAATTACACCAAATAAAGTCTAGGAGCTCTTTCATTGTCTTGAGACAATATTCATATAAACCTCCTTACTTTATTAGAAGAAATAGAAAAGTAAAGTAGTTATGCTAGTAATCTCTATTACAAACCCATCATATCTGGGAAATTCAATCTAGTTATATAAAAAGGGAGTTTCTATTATCCCTAAAGACAGTCAACACAGTTCAGATATGAATCACCGTTATAAAATGGCATACAGATGATTCCACATGTGGCTGAGAGTGGGTGTTTTATACTCATTTTGTACAAATGTAATTAATACACAAGTTACAAGGCAGTGAAGATTCAAACTCATTAGGTTTTGTAAATTTGATAATACATGTCTATATCAAGCAGAAAACAGAGGCCTATTGATCAAGCCTGACATCTCTCAGTGTTCCTTGATTTATATTCTTCAGTCTTCACCGATATTATGCAATAGCACTCTGCACCAAACAAAAGAATTATAGAAATGCTCAGAAAGCAGAAACAATATTTAGATTTCTAAAAGCCATCTATACTAAATTGATGGTATCCATACCATAAGTACACGTTTCACAGGGTTGTTATGAAGGTAAATTAATTATAATGTATATTAGTAAGAAACTACATGGGTGGGTATAATAAAATTACATAAACTGAAATTAACAAATAAACACAAAATTACTTACTTTCCCCTCAAGAGAAAAATACTATATGCATTATTAATTATAATAAGAATTGAATCCCAATTAATCCCTCATGCAAACCTCTATTTCTAAATCACCAACACCTCAAAAATGAAGTGCTCACAAAAATTCTTCCAATTACTTTCAATCTAATAATTTTATTTTGGTTTTAAATTGCAACCACATAGCACTTGCCCAAGTTCATGAAGATAAAATGGATTAGCCGTCCATGTCCGCAACAGGCAGGCACCTTGTTAAACATTCTTGCCATCATAAGGTCTCATCTAACACACCACTTTGTACCAATATATTCAGTATATTGTTTTGTTTTTGTTAAGCAAACAAAAGAACCCCCACACAGCCCCTAAATTGAAAAGCTATACCAGCACAGTCCCCAATATGAAGGAAGTTATATGAAACAGCTCAACTAACTGCCTGTTTTAAGAGGAATAATCTATATAGAAAAGTGCATTTATATCACTAGAACTGCATTCACAGTAGGGCAAGTTATCCCACAAAGAACATAACCCTGTCTTGTGGGGATAGGGGAGGAAAGAGCTGTCTTTGAAGAGCTGATAAGTTGAAAGAGACATGCTAAGGGATAGCACATTGGGTTTGTGATGGTTTTTATTCTTATGATGCATATAAGAAAGTCTCAATGTTATATTGTGTCTGGCAAAAAAGTCCTACTTTTTTTACTCTCAGAAACATATGATATGTATTGACTTAAATTCTTTGTTTTCTCAGAGGACCTGTTATAAGTTTAAATGAAATGAGGAATGTTGAATTTAAGAAATAAGCCTACAAATAGGTGAGAAGTGACCTACAAGGGTTCCCCCATCTCTCTCCTTTCCTTCCCAATCTATGGATTTCCACACTAGAGGTTGATCAAGACAGTCTATCACAGCCTCATATTGGCTTTTCTCCAGCTGAAGAGAATCTAAAGATTGCCTTCCTAGTTCATAGTATATGTGAACCCAAACAAGCAGGTACTACAATGTTGTGCCCTTCTGTTTCACTGAATGCTGGGATGGACCGAAAAAGATGAAGTTTAAGTTTTTTAGCTAAACACATTGCTGCTTACAGATGTTAACTCCTCCCCCCACCGCCACCCCCCAAGCTCCCGTGCTTTACTGGAACAAGCTGTGCATTAGTTAAACCTGGCTCTGCAGTGTCTGTATAGATCGTGCACTTTAGCAGGGATTTTTGGTGCTTTTATCTAATAGCTGGTTCAATCAGCTATTAGATAAAAGTGCCAAAAAAACCCGATAAAGCACCCAGTCTATACAGATGTTGGGCGAGCTGGGTCCAACTAATGCAATGCCTCTATCTCTCCACTACCGGGTAGGCCTACCTCACAGAATGAGCAGCAGCTGGAAACTAAGTCCCACAATCAGGAAATAATCTTCCCTTCCCCCTTTCAGTCCCCCCTCGCTTCCCCTCTGTGCTGGGACATGTCTCGTCCCTCATTTGGTCAGTCTGGAGTCAGGAAAATCACTTAGAGAAGAGCTGTTTCATTTCAGACAGAGGTGTAAGCATAAAAGAACATAAGAATTTCCCTGACCATGAAACAAAATGTATTGGACAATAAATCCAGCCAAATTCCCCCTGTATCAAAAGATCCAGCACTTCCTGATGATTTAGAAAGCAAGAGAGGTCAATCTTTGGACATCCTATCTGAAAGATAGCCTCAGTCCTTGATTTCTCATTCCTGGTGCAGAGTGATTCATCTGTTGAGGCCGTCCACTCAAGTGTTCATAAAGTCCAAAGAATGCATAGCTGAGAGGTGGCTTTGACTACATACACACCAGTTCAGAGTCTGATCTGCCTTCACAGTTTTCAGACATGAGGGAAAACTCATGCTTCCCTCTATCAAATACACCTATGGCAAAAAGATGGTTTGTAACCATAGCTGCATACATCTGACCAGTGTAGTCTAGCATGCAGCATCACACAGGTGCAGAAAGACATGAGACCAAGAAGCAATACACAAGGTCTATCTAATGTTGTCAGAGTGCCTCTCAGCATGCAAGTGGAGCCCAGCAAGGACTGAACCAAGTCTCAACAAAGGCAGGCTGCAGCTAACAGAGGCCAACATGGTCCCCATGAACTCTGACTTCTAAGGTGGAATTAAAAATTAGGCGGTAAATACACAAGTGTTTTGTGTATTCACTGTAAGACCCAGTTATAAAAATTAATGCAGATTGACAGAGATGATAGTCTGCCACTTTTTTGGAGGAGCTCCTTTTACCTTTATCTAGATGACTCACTGGTGAACTACACTATTATTCATCCTTAAGATGCCACCACTGAAAGATCTACCTCCTACAGCTACAGTGGAGGAAACCTCCCAAAAGCACTTTAAGACAGACTCGTGATTTTTCTTTAATCCAAATGATATTCAAAGTCTCAGACTTTCATTGTACATTAAAAAACAAAAGGCACCGACCCATTATTCAGTTTCTCAGTCCTCATAAGGAACAGAGAATACTAACAACCAGGAATCAGAATTCAGGATAGAAGTGTTGCACAGACTCAAAGAATTGCATGCAACTTGGCTATATCCATCTGCTAGAACCTAGCACAAGTTTTTTCATTTTTCCCAAACTTAGTCACTGGTTAGTGCACACATAGGCCCATACTCAGTTCCATTTTCTAGGCACTTTTAATTCCTATTAATTATGTACTTATTACTTTGTTGTGATTGGTTAATCTGAAGTATAGATCATTGTAATAAATTCTTAGCATTATGTGAGGAACATAAAACATTCAGTTGGCATGACATGACTTTAGTATTTTAATGGCATTTTAAAAGACATATGTATGAACAAGAGCTTCCCCAAATTCTCCCTTTCTAAGGCCAGATGTACACCATGCCTGCACAAATGACAAGGGGTGCTTCTCCGTGCAACAAAATTGGCCTGTAAAGCAGCTTAATTGCCTTCTTGCACCGCTTTAATGATGTTGCTGTTTGCACATTTGACAGCACATTTCACTTAGATTTCATGATGATGTACATGTTTGGCAGTGTATTTTGCTTTAAATGACTTTGTTATGCAGCAAGGTAAAATCCATCTGAGGTACTTTAGTTTGCTACCTCATGAAGCACAAAGCTGCACGAGGTGCTGGAAACCCAGGTGTGCTTGGGGAAGCTCAGGCTTGGTGGGCTTCCAGCACCCCATGCACCATTTCCACCGCCAGCATACCCAGCCGCCCTCCTGCCGCCTTACCACAGGGGCAAGCCAGCTGTTCCCAGGCAGTCCCAGGTGGCAGAAAGGCAGCAGGGATCGTGCACAGGGTGTTGGAGCCTACCTGCCTCTCCCGTGGATGGAGGCCAGCTGCCCGCAGGCCAAACAGCCCCTGCGGGGCACCCCAGACCTTCCCTCTGCATTGGCAGCGCCCCCTGGGACCACCTGGGTGGGCTGTTAGCAGACAGGTACTGCCTGGGGGGTACTGCCACCACAGAGGGAAGGACTGGGATCTCCCACAGCTCAGGAACCACTCAGCCCACTGGCAACTGGCCCCCACTGCTCCAAGAGAAGCTTGGAGCAGGGGGAAGGGTGGGTCCCTTGATCGCTTTTTTTTTTTTTTTTTGGTGGAGCCTGTCGGGCTGGGGTGGGAGGCAGGTGAGCTGATCAGGGGCCATGGCACACTGTGACATCATGCGAGTCCCTAAATTGAAACGGTGGGCTTTTAAACAACACAATTAAAAACCCAGTAATTTCAATTTTGGGAAAATTAAACCCCTGTCCTATGTACAAGCACCCAAAGGAAGCCAAGGGGATAAAACAGACACAAAAGCAGAGAGAGAATGACAGCTCTGCTGAAAATATATAAAAACCCATCTTTGCTAACAGAGCCATTGGATTTGCACAGGTTTAAGACAGGGCCAGAGAGCAGCCTTTCTTGCAGTATGCCCTTTAAACACCAGTTAATGTTCAATCAGAACTTTGTGCAATAGTTACTTTAGGTTACTAACAACAGCACTAATTTTCCCTTAGATGAGGAAATAGCACACAGCTGACATAGACTGTAACATCAAAGCCGCTTAAGAAGCCGTGTTGAGATGTTTCAGGCTATACAACATT